GAAAAAGAAAAAAGAAAGAAAGAACAACAATAACAAAGGAACAAATTTATAAATATATAATGTAGCTAGTACCCGTCAATACCATTTTAATCATACATATTAATACTCATTTATATCCTAAACATTTTATTCTAAAAACGCCTATAATAATACAATCTTATGTACCTTACAGAATCCCTTTTTCAATTAGATTTACCCATTGTCTCTAAATGAATTTTGTTTCTTTAAATCTTGCTTCCCATCATTGGGACTTCTCACCCCTTCCTTTCTCCCTTGCTTATTCTTTTCCTTCCTTCTCACCCCTTCCTTTCTCCCTTGCTTATTCTTCTCCTTACCCTTTTTACCCCTTTGTCTCTCCACCTCCCTTTTCTTCTTCTGCTTTCCCGCTTTCTGTTGTTTTCTAACCTTATATCCACGTTTCAACTCATTTTTATCTTTTTTGGTTGTTTTTTTAGGTTTTAAAATCCCCTTTTTCTTTTCCTCTTTCTTCTCCTCCCCAAATAGGATCACATGTTCATCAAAGATGGTTTCTTCTTTGTCCCAATTATCCTGCTGCGCAATCAATTCTCCATAAGAATGTACCGCCATTTCTAGAGATTGAAAAAGAATGCCCAAAGTATCTTTCCAGTCTTGTTCTTCCTTTTTATATTTTTGATATTCAGTTTTGGATTCATCCAAGGATAATGCCATTATAAAGAGGAAAAAATTTTCCCAAAACAACCACCCGAGTGTTTTTAAACAAAGAAAAAAAAAGATTTCCCAAAAGATCCAAAGTCACCAAACAATCCAGATAGACTATTTCTTTTAGCACTTTTTCCCTTCTTCCATTTCTTTTTCTGGGGTTGCTATTAAGTCACAAAATTCCAATTGAAATATGTCTTTTTGAAGTCTTATTAATGTTCAAATGGCTCTTTAAAATTCTAGGCAGTCTGCTCCTTATTTTCAAATTCTACTTCAATTTTTTTCCTCTCCCTTCCCACTCACAGCAAAAGAAATTTTTTTCTTTAAATATTTAGAAATCCATATCCCTTTGGCATTAGCATAATCTTTAGCATTTAGCATACCTTCAATGCGGGTTTTCCAATTTCTCTCAAAGCTGTTCCGTTTGGAAGGAGAGTGAAAAGAAAAAAGTTTTCCCTTTAATATCCATTCGCTGCTTACTCAGTCTGGGAACGATGTATCTTTAATAAGTATTAAATATCAGGATACTTTCACTGTTCCTTTGTCCCAGTCAGCAAAGATCACTTTCACTTCTTCACAAGCTCCTCCAGCACTTTCTTTTTCCGGCTGAGCTCTTCTATGTGGCAGCCATTACAGACTGCCGCTCAGCTGCCTTTGGAGAGGGAGATTTAGCCGGCTAGGAAAGAGAGATGCGATGTCTCTCATCCCTGCCAGAGCCCCCCAGTCTTCACCACCTTCTGCAAAGGTGGCTTAGCCCCGAAGCCAAATGGCTCGGGGCACTCAGGCAGTGAACACAGGCAGGGACCGCGCACAGTTGCGGATTCTTGCCTGCACCGAAGCACCACAAACCGGAAGTCCTTCTCACATTCAAGATGATTTATTGGAGAGGAAAACAGATAACTTTCCAAGATAACACAGAATGAAGATTGCCTTTCAACTTGTCAACTGAACTCAGGATTTGGCATAAAGGAAAGTAAAATATATATTCTGCCATATTATAACTCAAACCTGTTTAAGCTCAACTTCTGGTGACTATATGGGCATATCTGTGTAGTTTTCTGCAGCAACAGTACAAACATGGTTGAACTCCCAATACTTTTTTTTAGTTTCTTGATGGTCTCCTGTTCAGGTAAGCCTGATCTATTCAAGCGTAGCTTTTGAGATCAGCCAAGGCTAGTTAGGTGCAACCATTAATGTTACAGCTTATATAGATGCTTTTCAGAAGTTAGGGAGCTATAAAAGCATAAGCCAGAATGGGATGTTACAGGGTTGAAGAGCTGCCCGGTATGGTTTTGATAAAAAGTGATGGAGGCAATTCTTATTTTAAAAAAAATAGTGGTCTGGAAGTAAATCTGCTATCGCTATGTTTTGAGATATCAGAATACAGGCCAGACTTTCTACTCAACTGGCATATAAAGCTGATACCTCTTTCCTAGTGTGGAAGAAGTGTTCCTTGTCTCACATACTACCTACTCCGCATTGCTACACTAAGGAAACATACCAGAATTTTTACCTATTTGATATCTTAATCCAAACCTGAATGTTTGAGACCAATAAAGTTCATGTGTAATAGACAGCAAGAGAGGAAACTCCAGGGCGCTGAGATGCTTGTGTCCTCTGAATTTTACAGGAGCTAATCTGCTCAACCATATTTTCTCAGTGCTGCTTCTGTATTTGCTGTTTCAGCCAATTCTCATGCATTATTTGATGGATTTTAGATTAGGTATGAGATTGTGGTTGTTTTGTCTTTTGTAATAAGCCTTGGCTTACATCTTATTTGCTTGTTCTTGTTTTTTAGCCATCAGGCAGGAATTGAGTCGAATCAGCACAACATAAAGGCCACAAGACCATCTGGAAGTTGAAAAGGACATGACGAGTGATGGTTCATTTCTAAGTGTACCAAGATCATGCAGAATGGTGAAAGAGGACACCTGACAGCATCTTTTGTTTTTAAAATCCTTTTTATTAGCAGACTCAGCAGACTTTGAAGCTTGCTACTGCCTTGGATTTGCTTCATTTAAAAAAGAAAGAAAAAAGTCTTAAAATCTTTGAAATGGAAAATATTAAAAAATTTATCTGGATTTTTAAAATTCATCTGATAATGCACATCAGATTTGGTCAGCCTTTTTGTATTTTGTATTTGCTTATTTAAATGTATGACATTTTTGTTTTTAGTATATTGTAGGTAAGGAAACATGTGATCCATTTACTTTTATTAGATGACTTCAAAATAATTTTACTGGTAGTCTACAGTGTAAATGAAAACCTTTTTGCCAACAGAATCTAATTAATGGCATCAGTAGTTGAGGCCAGAAGATGCCAGCTGTTAGCCAGGAAGTCCCTGGTCCCAAAGCTACCACAATATTAAAGCGGTACATCAGTGCATCACAGCATCTGTGCTCATACCGGTAATAAATTGTTCATTGTCCATGTGACATTTGTGGCATTGATTGGCTTTTCTTTCAATTCATTCTTACAATAGATTTGGGCTCATCATATATACTTTTCTACTTTTTAACAACAGGGATGGCCAACTTGGCAATCTTGACCAGCTATGGCATTCCAAAGGAAATGGCTATGACTATGTTTACACATTGAATGAAGCCATGGTTTATTGAATTGTCCGAATTCACACAAGACGTTATACCAAATTAAGGAAACCTTCTTATGGTTTCCATATTGTGTAAACCAGGTCGTTATCTGACCTCTTGTGGTGCTACCAGAAATACAGTTTGAGAAATAGAAAATTCACTTTTTCATGTTTACATCTCTTGCCTATTGTATGAAATATATCAATTTACAAAATTGATGACTGCAAATCACTAGACTGGAGAATAGAACAACTCCAAAGACAAAATGTCTCTCATCATTTTTAAGCATGTCTTCTGTATATAGTGGTTATATTCAGAATTACTAGTATTCTTCTCCCAAAACAAGTTTGCACTGAATAGATCTCCCCATAACACACCATCCAATATTTTATCATAAATACTGTGTGATAACTAATAGCAAACTATTTTACTTTGCTTAGGCTTAAAATGTATGTTGGCTTGAGCAAACCACTAGAGTTATGTGGAACCTACATGAAAACTGTTTTCTCTTGAAATTATAGGAAGGTTTTTCCTGAGCAGGATCCTCAAAAGTCCCCTCAGACTTTCAATTTATGGGAAAGTCAGTGACCAAGCCTAACATTTGTGTCCTGAATATATGATTTCTTTACCTGCCTTGGACTATAAAACACCCATTACTGATTAGAAATAAGTAACAATACTGTGCATCTCATGTTGCTTAATAACTTACAACATGGTGGGTTGGGTGGGGTGGGGTGGGTACTAGATAAGTGGAGCACTGGCTAGGGGTTTTTTTTAATAAAGTTTTTTTGGTTCCTTTGAAAACTGATTAAGTTTTTTTAAAATGTGGAAGCATCTCCAATTTCACACTTCAGAAGCTGGGGTTGTGTTTTTTGTTTGTTTGTTGGGGATGGGTGAGTTGTCATATCAAGAGTATATAATATAAATTTCAGAATAATGAACCGTGCAACTGAAGAAGCAGACTGTAGTCCATGAAAGCTTATGTGATAATAAATACATTCATCTTTAAGGTAACATAGATTTTGTTGGTTTTTTGCTGCAATAGAATAACATGCTTAACACATCTGGAAACTAATAACATTTGTAGTAGCCTTAAAAAATGGGGAAAAAAGGAGACTCAGGTAAGTAAAAATAATTTGCCTTATAGATTAGTCTTCCATTTTTCCATCCAAACCAGTATCATTCACCCTGCTTAGAGCATTTTCTCTGAGGTCTTTCCAATATTAACTACTGGCCTTTGTGTAATTAGGAATACCAAGCACTGAAGCACACAAACTGTATTCATTGCTATTAGACTGTGTTATCTCCACAATTGCACATAACTGCACTAAGAATATACTTGCCTCAATCCATTTTAGGCTGCAATCCTAACCTATTTACCTTGATGATTATGTTAATTTCTATTGAGATTACTTCTAAGTAGGTACATATGGGCTTTCTCTTTAAATAACTTGAAGTCATAAACAGAGCTGTCTGCTATTCAACCTCTTTTAATATACACTGCTGGGTACTTTGTAATCTGCTTGTAGCAGTGTGGAAGTCTGATTTAATTATTGCAACTAATATGCATTGGCAAACCTCTCTTGTCTAATTAGGAGTGGGAAATGATGATCTTTTTATAATTTGTGGACTTCAACTCATTCCATGCTGGCTCAGGAATTCTAGGAGTTAAAGTCCTGAAGTCAAGTCAAGTCAAGGCCATTGTTCCCTACCTCTGGTCTAGATCAGGGGTGTCAAACTGACAGCATCACATGACATATGACTTTTTCCCCACTTTGCTAAACCGGGCATGGGCCTGGCCAGCACGTGATGCATCTGGCCCACGGGCCGCAAGTTTGATACCCCTGGTCTAGATGGATATTTTTTATAGCTCTCAGAACCACTGCCCATCACAACAGTATGAGGTGGGGAATTCCCACATACTTGCACATTACTTAAAAGTTAATTACACAGAGATCTTCCATCTTCCCCTACTTGCAAAATTCGCTATGTAACTAACTACAGAGATGGAGAGAAGTCTATTGCATGCAATATCAGACTTCCTAGCCATATACTTTAATTAGTCAAAATATACAGAGCTAGCCACCTTTCTCCTCTCTACTTTCCAAATCTATAAATTCGGGGTCCTCCGTGCTCTGACTGCATCTGAGTTTGGTATTGCACAATAGCAAAGAAAAAAGGTTTTTGTTAGCTTCATTTTAATATTACTTTATATTTAGATTTAAGACAATCCTTTGGGTTCAGAAACATACATCAGCTACATCTACCTAAGACATAAAATGCATCATTCATGTTTGCGAAGGAGAAATTTTCAAGGTGCAGAAGTCCAGAGAGGAAAAGCTGGAGTTGGTATCTAGGAAGATTCAGAAACCAATTTGCACTTTCTTTTAACCCTTGTATAAGGACTGATGTTATCATCAAAAACAAAGTCCCAGAGAACATGAACCCATGACTGGTGTTGAGGTAGAGTGTCATAATATTCAGCTGCTATTTTCTTTACCTGTAAAGATCAATGGGAACATATTAATCCATAATTTCTTACCTGCAAAATACTTAAAATATCAGGAATACATTATATATCTCTTGTTATCAGAAGTTACCCAATGGATCTATAACATGGCCATGTATTTTTCAGTTCCATTTGTTTAGGATATAGTTTGTGTGGTATAAAAGTTAATAACATAAGACTTCAACTTTGTGCAGCTGCTAGTTTATTGACTCTCTGCTGGTAAATACAAAGTTCAGTCACATGTATATGCAAGGCAATCTTAAAAGTCAATCCATAGCTTTGTGGTGAATTGTAGTTTAAAAACTTATGGCACCATATGTTCTTGGATGTTCACACGACTCAGAAATAATAGTTGCTATATAATTCAGTTCCTACCCAAAATACTACCTGAATTTTATCTGAAAAATAAGTTGAGATTTGAAGGATGAGGTTTTTTTTTCTGCTTGAAACATTCATGCCTTGACTTTTCTGTCTTTGCAATGGAATCTCTGTACTAAAGTAAGTTGCATAACCCAATTTATTATGTTTCCATTTATTATGAATTTATATTAACAAGTGTTGTAGTATATGATGAATTAGACATAGAAATTCATTCAAAAAGGCACACTTAGACAAGCTGCAAACTCAGTTTAACCTGATTGATGAAATTAGATACACAGATATGTAACATCAGTGACCAGGGACTTTGGCAGGGAGCAGATAAAAATGAAGACAAGGTGGAATAAGTGCATTGTAGCTAGGCATAACATCCACTGATTTTTTTTCAAATTGAAAGTAATGTGCATTTATGGTTACAGATATCTCCTATATGCTGCCCGTAAAATGTTCTGTCAGGTAGATGCAACTCCTATAATATGCGGACTTTAAGATAACTTGATTAACATAAGTGTTTTATCCAGTGGTGGGATTCAATTTTTTTTACTACCGGTTCTGTGGGCGTGGCTTGGTGTGTGTGGCTTGGTGGGAGTGGCAGGAGAAGGATACTGCAAAATCTCCATTCCCACACCACTCCAGGGGAAAGGTTACTGCAAAATCCCCATTCCTTCCCCACCCCACTAACCTGCTTTCCAGCTCCATTCTCCTCTGCAGGGCAACAAAGGAAGACCCAACCGATCAGCTGTGACTCAGGAGGCAGAGAATAGATGGGGGCGGGGCCAGTCAGAGGTGGTACTTGTCAATTCTCTGAACTACTCAAAATTTCAGCTACTGGTTCTCCAGAACTGGTCAGAACCTACTGAATACCACCTCAGGTTTTATATGTGATGGACTTTTGTCTGTTTACAAACTGGACTTCAATAATACCAATCACAATGGTTATAAATAAAATCCACCTATCATCTAATACCAAACAATATCAAAAGAGCTCATAAAATCCACAAAACAATAAAAATAGCCAATGTCAAAAAACTCTTAGAAGATGAAAGCTTGAGTATAAAAATGATTGTAGTCCTAATTAGTTACTACTTTTTAAAACAGCCTAAGGATGAAGAGTCTGGATCTCTAGGAATAGAAATCATCCATAAGGGAAGGTGCCACCACCAAAACAACAACAACAACAACCCATTGCCCTAGTTGATTCCAATACTTGTAATAAAGTGAGATTTATTGGAGCTACTGTATAATTTTGTAATTTATGGAAAGCTAATCCTCCAGATAAGCAGGACACACACCCTGGACTTATCTATTATCTATCCAAGGATTTGTCTTATTATATTAAGCAATCTAAAATTAATCCACTAATCTGCCTTCAAAACTAAAATTAGAATAACTATTATGCTACTAGCAAATATCTGACATATCTATCAGCTTAATTTCTGAATCTCTTTCAAGTACAGGATTAGAACTTTCTAACTGGGAGGTAACAAGAGAACAAGCATTAATAGTCAGATCCTTGCTGGAAAAAAAATGTTATTGATGGAGCATTCACAGCTGGAAAAAGACTGCTTTTGCTACCTGTTGCTACCAGGTACATTGATCTGCAAAGTCAAACCCAGCATAGTGTCAAAGAAGACCTTAAGATTGCATACCTGCTCTTTCAAGGGAGAATAAACTCCAACTACAACAGGTAAAGTCTTTAGCATAGGTCTCCCTAATCATCAAACCTACCATGACTGGATTATATAAAAACTGAAGCCCACCAGGCAAGCCTGCATACCTGATAAAATGTAGGAAAATTAAACATATCTGAATATTATCCACATTTATCCACTTCCTCATGAAGAAATTCTGAAATTCTATATGCATTGGGAAATTACCAAGGACAGATTTTTTAAATTATCTCTTTGCTTCTGCTTGGGAGTTGTCACTGTGATTTTGGGATAATCTGCCCATGACAATCTCTCCTATCTTTTCCACCTAAATACCACCTTTCTTGGTGTAAAGATATTAGGCTAATGTCTATGGGGATTCTCAATCATCCAGCTCATGGCTGTCCCAAAAGTGCTGTTCAAAAGGCAACTGGCCTTTCTTGGTTTTTTTCTTTGGTTATCCAAGAAGCTTCTTCAGTTCTCAGTTCTGGTGAACTGAATAAGCTTCTTGGATGAGAAGCAAAACATTTCCAAGGAAAAAAACCAAGCTCAGCTGCCTTTTGAACAGCACCTTTGGGACAATTTAGTCTAATGTGGATGATGAGATGAGGCATAAATGTAAGACATCAAAACCATAATGTACATGAACGTCTGAACTACAACAACATGACAACTTTCAAGCATCACTTCTAAGACCAGTTCTGATACTGGTTTACAAGATATAAAATACACAAAAGGATCCAAATCCTGCCATAACTCCATAAACTTCAGGTATAGACAGAATTCTTAGTCTCTTATTTTTTTAAAAGTATGAAAATATTGTACTATTAAAATTCAAGGTATCATAATGATTTGCTATACAATAGTCTAATACTAAGTATATTATTTCAGCATATTCAAAGAATGAAGAATCACTCAGTATAAAACAAAGAAGAGACAAATAGTAGAAAAAAGCAGATAAAAATTCTGAGAAAAATGGGAAGATTGAAAGGGAGGACAAAGCTGAAAAATGCAAGCAGACTGGATTTACAGCGGACTAGAGGTCAGGCAATGAAAGTTAAGCAATGATAAAGATAAAATGATATGGGTTTGGAGAAAAGGCAACGTGATTTTTTTTAATTAGAAGTCTTCAGCTTCTCTCCCCTAACTCTAACCAGGCAATTTACCTGAATAAATTTGAATAGGAAAGTAAGACAATTAACAGAGCAGCACAATCTTGAAAGTGTTCTCATAGGCAAAATGTACACAATTGAAAAAAGTTACTACCTTCTTACTCATAGTAATATCTTAGATCCATAACATTATTCAGCCCTCTGCCCTATTTTATCCATTGATGAAAGCAGTGGCATCCACATGAGTGGTTGAAATGGACAAGTTTGTGGCCATCACAACATGACCGAACCTCCACCCCATATAGATCTATGTAATGTGAGCTCATGGACGCCATTGTATGGAAGAAAAATTAATCCTTTCCATTTTATTTAAGGCAGGATAAATAAAATTACTTGTGATTTTATTGGTAAGAAAAAAATAGCAAGGTGATGGTATTACCTTGGACCATTCACAGAAAGAAAGGACTATTGCTGCCTCCCTTTCTTCAGATTTTTAAAGGTGATGCAATCACTTTTACACCAACCACATGATGAGTTCTACTATCTGACTCAGTCTTCCTCAACTTCAGCTCCAGAATTCTCCAGACAACCAGGGCCATTGCTGAAAATATTGATATTGAATTTCCTTAGGGTGGCAAGGTTATCGCAGATATATTATTTATCTTTGCCAATCAGAAAAGGAGATTAAATCAGTTTGACCAATCAGATTATTAGTTGATAAGCTGGGGCTTTCCTGGAGGTTTTTTTTTTTTTAAGAAGTATGTGCAGCTTCCAGTAAACCACACGATTGGGGAAGGAGGGGACTTTTAGACATGATTCATACCAAAAAGCAATAGTACAAGTTAAAATTCCTTAAATTCAGTGCACGGACTTCAATTGACCCCTGTTTCTGCTGCGCCCAGTTCCATGTTTTTACACACAACAGGTTTTTGTCCTTCAAGTGAAAGGTCAAGTTAATTGGTGATAAAATGTAATCTAATGTTTCCAGTCAGCATACCCTACCTGGAGTGTAACCTAGCTTGTCAGGTTTTTGTACATGTTTTTCCTGATTGTTGTAGACCAAACCCAATATCCCAAAGCACCATATAAGTTATTAATTTGAGGGGCAGTGAGCCAGACAAAACAACAGTCACCCAGAAAGGAATTCCAAGGTTTTATGAATGTTTAACATCTGACCTCTATTAACTTTTTTTCTAATGCAATCAGGCTCTTTGTCTTCCTCCATGCAGAATGAGCACAAACTCTCGTTTATATTGGCAAATTAGCTTAGTCTTAAAATGAGGGGTATGTTTGCATGATGCCCCGAGACATAAGCTAGCCACATAAGCAACTTTAGCTATTATGTGACTATTGGTCCATGTGGAAAGCTGATGTATCAGGCCAATTCAAAGAATTGTACAATTATTATATGGATAAACCATTATGTACGTTTCATGAATAGAACTTTGGATCATTAATCATTAATCATTAATCATTAATCACATGCTATATACTGCTACTCTACTTCCCCAGAAGGAAAACAGTTTCTGATGTATTTCAGTTAATGCTACAAGATGGAGAGACCTAGCTACACCATTATATTTCAATAGTGGTCATCATCCTGACTTCTCCCCTCCATGCCCCTGCTATTTTGTGAATGCCCCATCTTTAAACAGGGTAGGCAGAATGGAAAGTCACAATCAGGTGAAAAGACAAAGACATTGGTTGAGAGTATTAGTATTCATACCCCAAAGTACAATCTTTTTATGTTTCGGGTCAACTTGCAGAAAAATGTGAAGTTTGTAAAGGTTTAGAAGGTTATGCACGCTGCTACATCAGCATCCCCCCAAACCTTTCTGCCTTTATGGACCGGTAGTGTCGGTGGCATCAACGAGGGAGGGAGAGCAGATGGTTTCATGTGCACACCTGCCACTTGCGCAAATGAAGTTTCTTGCAATCGTGAGGGTTGGGGACCTCTGTGGTAATTGAAAGATTTGTGGCAGAATCAGGGGGAGGAGGGCAAAGGCAACAAGTGACACAAATTCATATATTTTATAACAGTAGGATTTGTTCTCAGTGGGCATTTCCTCTGGTTGCTGTGTTAACGTTTTGATTTCCTTTCTTCTGAAAGAAATAGGATTCAATATGGAACAACCGTTTCCTAATGTGGTTCCTTCCTAAAGTATTAGCCTTTGTACATTTCATATGAAAAATAGAAGCTGTAGAGTTTTTATAACACCCCAGCTAAAATGCTATTGTCTAGCTCAGTGCATTGTATGCAGCCAACATAGTTACTGACTAGGTCTAGGTGTTGTGCAAATTCAGAGATTTGGATCAAGCCCTAATTTACTTAATACAGAGTTAATAAGTTGTACGAACAAAGCCAGTCTCTAATGACAGATGCAGAACCACTATTTTAAGCTGAACCACCATTTGTTATTGTTTATTAGATAACTTCAACCGGAAGTTACTATAATTCACAGAAATACATAGCCAGTTTACCTATTGTATACTATAAAGCCAGGTGCAGAAATATTCTAGATGCCTTTATCAATCTATATGCTACCTTTTTTTTGGAGGGGGAGGGTCCTTGGTTGCTTTCTTGCAGACGTTTCCTTATCCAAATAGGTAACATCATCAGTGCTAGACTACGCTTATGCTTCCTTTTATTTGTCTAATCAAGCATTTTTAAGGAATATCAAATTGCTTATAGCTTATTTTTGAGGATGCTATAAAAAGACTGGAGCGTGGACTAGAAAAGTAGGCTCTGACATGAGGGTCAAGATGCCAGGGACAGCACTGTGAATGCATAGCCTCCCCAAATCTGGAAAGTATGATAGGACTTGTAAGCCTTTAGTTATCAGAGCTAAATTGAACAGATACAGGGAAAAGATAATATGCTATGAAGAATCATAAAAACAAATCTTACACAAGTGTGGGCTTTTTTCTGTGTAATGAAAACAGTAAGGATGTTTGTCTGCAGGTGTGTTTGGGAGGCGAATGGCATTTGTAACCTTGAAGCAGTAAAATAATAGTCACCAAAAGTGTTTGCTATTTGGTGCTTATAAAAATAACCAAGTTATTTTTTTTAGGACAATGACTAGATTTCAATGTTTTTTATGTTCTGGAAAAAAAAAGATTTGTTTGTTCCTATTTATGTAAAAACACTAATTAAATGAATGAGAATGTCTCCCATCAGGTTCTTATTTCTTTAATAGGTTACCTATTTTGTTACAAATATTAATCCTATATGAAACACCAATTTCTTCTGAGCCTCTTGACACCCCCCCCCCACTCCAGATGCTGGCTATGCTGTCTCTTATCTGACTGGTTCCTTTGGCAGCGTCTCTTTGCTGGGTCTCCCAAGGTCTTTCATTCCATAACAGGAATGCTTATGAAGGGAATGGTGAAGATGAAGCGGTACCAAAAGATCAAAGCTAGATTGCTCTTTTATCCTACACCATAAATGAGTAAACAAAGGTGCAGGTGCTCAAAGACAAGAGTGTCTGAAGGGATGATTCGAAAAAACCAAGGCAGTAGTTCCACCACATGCAAACTGAGCTCCCCCCCGCCCTCGACTGAATAAATAACATTCACATTATATTTTATTATTGGAATGTTGAAGAAGTTATTTCCCACTGCCTGCCCATGTGTGTAACTTCTTTAATAGCTATCCATGTTATAACATGGTTTAAGACTCCCCAAAACTGAAGGGATGGTTAAGGGTGATAAAAGTCTTCACAAAATAATCTTTAAAATCAAATGTGTTAAACCAAAATCAGAAACTCATACTAGAAAAAACATGGTTTGTAACAGCTTCCCAGAGGGGTACCTCGCAGCTCCCAATATGGCAGAGACCTCATCAATTCCCTTGATACAGGCCAGGTTGCTATCCCACATAATTATCTTTTATAAAGTTGTTTACTTTTAAAATAAAGGGGCTTTTTAACAGGTTCAATTAAACCAATTTAAATGGAAAGCTGTCATGTTGCAAAACTAAGTGTCCATTTTTAGCATTATCTCTGTTTACAAGAACTACATCCAAACATTCCCAGAGGACTGACAAGTGGAGGATTGCTGCACCGCCCTGCCTTGCTTGATCTGTGCCTTCTGACCTTCAAAAGTCAAATGGGGTGGCAGCCTAGGAACATAGGTAGGGTAGCGGGTTTTAGGCCTTTCTGCTAAATGAATGCTTTATAATTTAATAGGCCCACCACAGCAGTAGCAAAGAATTTGCAAAATTCAGAATTTGCAAAATGGTCATTCTGGTGCCCCAGTCAAGAGAACTGCCCCTCTGTGTATCACAAGCCAAGCGCCTACAACCATTTGGTGCTTATACAAGTCTCACAGCAACAGTGATCAAAGTTAGAAAGGACTTCCTTGCTAGCTAAAATCCACCTACACATAATCATGAAGAGGCAGACCAGAGTATTTGGCAATGAAATATATAAGGATGGATTCATTAGTCTACATATACACAATAACTCAGGGGGCCTACAGAATACAATATAATGCATTTTTACTTGGATTGTGGAATCCATGCTCCAAACCCCTGTTTATTAGTATATAAGAGTGCATATGTCATGTGTGGGGTTTGGGGAGGGACCACAGAGGCAAGGCAGATCCCCTTTAGGCAATGATTCTGTAATTGCACAGTGCTGCAAATTGTGGAAAAGTTACGTAGGTATTCATTTTTTTGTTTAATAAAACAAGCAAAAATTAATGTTTAATTCTCAAAAGTTTGGTACTTTTTCAGAGAGGTTATACAAATAATATTCTAGCATGGAGATTACATACTGGGGTGTGCGTATGTGGTTGTTTGCAGGGGTTGGTATGCAATATAGGGCAGAGGTGTGCTATTTTCCTTCGGAAGGGTATGTAAAAATATGTGCAGATGAATCACCTAAAGATAGAGAACAAGTTCAGATCCAAACACTAATGCAATTTTGTATAAAAGTATCTCAGAACAGAAGGCAGCCCTGGGATATATCACCAGTTCAGATTTGAGAATATATTATTCACTAATAATTCTTCGTGAAAAACAATAAATGAAATCAAAATGAAATCAAGAAGCTGTCAGTTGAAGAGGACAAATGTAAAAGAAGATGAGGAGGAAGAGCAACCAAATTATGGCATACATCTCAAAGTATGTACATTGATACATGTTCATCTGCCTTTGCCTCTCATTAAATATGGACAGAAGAAAGTGTCAAAAATAGCCATATTGACTTGACATTTCATTTATAATCCAGTGGAAAAACAAGAACCTTTATTTACCATACATCTGATTTCACATTGATAATCAGTATTTTTCATTAATATCTATAACTTTCCCTCTCATTCCAAACCATATTTTGATGTTAGAAGCTATATCAACTGTCTTTTACTATTTCATTCTGCATGCTTTAACTCTGTTATTCTTTCTCCCTGTCACATGACATAATAGGAACTTTGAAGAAGTTTAATAAGCAATGTACACAAACAATTTGAAACATTGAAAGGAAGAAATATTAATGCTTACCATTGGCAGTCTAGATCCAGGGATGCTGGGGAAATCATGGTGTTCCATATGATAGCCAACATTAAAGGTGATCCAGTTGAGGGGTCCATAGTATGAATATGTTTCATATCCTTTCAAAAACATGTAATGTTCTGCTATGAAATGGCCAGAAATAGGGTGCAAACCCATGCCTAGGATTGTTCCTGCTATTAAATAAACAATAGGCCTCCAACCCCATAAATGATAGATTGCAAGGTCAATAGAGAATTGTACCAAAGCATTAAATATTTCCATTTCAGTAATTGCTTTGGGGTTGACATATAGTGGCCTCAAACTGTAAGCAAATGGCTGGATGGCAATCCAGATTAGTTTCCGAAATGGAGTACAGAAGAACCAGCCCTCAAAATCAGTAGGGATGTCCACATCCAAAGCATCTCCGCCAAGGTATCGATGGTGATCAATGTGGTACTTCTTGAAAGAGGCAGAGTAAGGTAATCCAACAGGCAAGTTGGCAAAGACGGCAAACCACCTATTCAACCTGGCGTGCTTGTTGCCAAAGGCAACATTATGAGAGATATCGTGGATTGCTAGTGTTATGGAGTGGTTGATGCAGCCCCCAAAACTATAAGCCCAGAAGAAAACCCACTTCCAGGCTAAATCTCTCACCAGGTAGCAGGCAAGAAGCTGAGTGAATACCATTCCTGTCACAATCCATTTTAAATTGGGATCTGAACCCATTAGAGATTTGATGGCTGGATATCTGGCTGAGGGAAGAAAGAAACATGGCATTAAAGGCAGTTGAGAGCAGTCTTCCTTTTTTTAAAGGCTCATTTAGCCCAACAAAGTCATGTCACCAGTCCTCTTACTGTTTGTTCCACATAATTACACTGAAAGAAGAAAAGAGGTAATACTGTAAACCACCTTGTTTGAAAATTACATGCTTGTCTGATAAAAGTCAGAAAACAATAACAAGGTACAAGGCCACCATTTCATTTATATGCAGAACTCATTTATTGCATAATAACATTCAATCTTGCTAATGTAGAAGTCATGTCTGATGTAATCTCCTAGCCAAATAGTGGCTGAATCTAGTCCTGCTTAGTTTCAGCAAAGTTGCACTATCACATGGCTTCAAATCCTGTAATCTGATTATTTTATTATTAGATTCTATTTCCCTATTAGTTACATAAGTATTATTAACCTGTCTTCAGCTTTATCACTTGAAATAAGAAATAGTTATTTTAAAAATTTGTTTGAACCTAGATTAAAATGAAATGTGGTCCTAGTCCAGGGATGTCAAACTTGATTTACGTGAAGGACGCATCAGGGTTGTGTTTGATCTCGGGAAGAGGGGGGCAGGGGGCATGGCCACACGGCCCTCTCAAGCTCCATTTTCACTGGCAGAGGGTTGCAGGAGGCATCACAGTCTAAAACAGAGCTTGGGAGCTTGTTTTCTCTGGCAGAGGCACTGTGGGCCGGTCCTTCACTGTTTCCAGGGTGGCTCCATGGGCCAGATCTAAGCACCCTGTGGGCTGGATTCAGCCCACGGGCCTTAAATTTGACACTCTTGTTCTAGACCTAAACTTCAGCTACGATTTTGTAAATTAAATACTCTTGGGTTTTAAAAAGAGGCCAAGTATATTGGGAAACTATACTTAAAGAGCGGACACCAAAACTTGATGCCCAAGACAATGTAACACATTTTAACTCCATACTCCCTAGGCAAAGATTAAGAAAGGATGCCATAGAAGAATTTGGTAGCAGGAACACCAAGGCCAGTTTGAGGATAGACTGTATGGCCCCTTGGTGCTGCCTTCCTCTGATGCAAAAAATAATTTTATAATCACTTGGAAGAAAGTACTCATATCTTTGTTCAATGACAGTTCCTTTGGTTCCCCAACTGTCAATATGGGAAGAGCAGAACCACTAAAAATGTCCTCCACTGCTGAAAGAACAGTTTGCTGAATTTCAGCCCTGCCTGTCTACAAAAAGAAGTCCGTCCCCCCCAAATCCAAGATCCAAGCTACTGAGGCTTGTGCCCTCCTTAAGGCTATGAAAAATAGCCTTCATGAACATGTGAACACATTATCAAAATGTATAGTTTATTCAACAACATTAATAACAGTGTAGGAATTAGGGATTGAAATCGGTACCGTTATGAGACTGAAATTGTAATCCCTGGCTCCCTCTAGTGGTGTCTAAGACCAGAGAAAATACACTATTCAAGTACTCTTATGATCTTCCTACCTTGCTTCTATGTAGGCTGGTGATGGACTTTTTAGGATGGTGTCTAAGCTTGATCTTGGGATCCTTTGTTTGCCAAGAATGCATAGAACAACTCTTGTTACTTTGCCTTTATAAGTTTGTCTTGAGCCCTAGAGACTACATGGGCAAACCAATGAGTTTTCTTGGCAACACACTCAACCAAAATTTCTAATAGCAAGGCAGTTTATGTATGGGAATTTGTAGCAGCCATCTATAGCACCCTTCAGACCATATCTGGTTTGCAACTCCCAGAATTTCCAACCAGCATGGCCTATAAATCTAACAGGCATTTTTGCCCCAACTTGTTATCCTCATGGGGACAATGCAACTGATTTTTTTAAAAATGTGTATCACTGCCCTTTTTTTGTTGACCTTTGACCAAGTTGGGAGATCAAGCAACAGGTGTATGTAGTCCTTTTTCAGAGCATTGGCTGCCATCCAACATGGAGCTCCTGGCTGCTCCAAAGTCCCCTTAAAGGCAGCCAGGCACACCTTTTAATGATCCAAGGGCCACTTCAGCCTTTGAACAATATACTGGGACCCACATAAAAATATTTTAATGGTAGGGTGTCCATTTGATTTCTTAAATATTACTGCTTACACTTTAATGTAATTATGTACTTGTTAAAATTTAGCATTTATAATTATTCTAATCCCTGTCCCTCTCTATTATTTGCCCTTCAAATAGGAGGTTGTTCCCAGCTTGTTGATAAAGTTTCTTAGCTAACAAGAACATATAGAAGAAAAGTGTCTATGGAGATTCTCAATCATTCATGTCCTGGTTATCCCTGGTGCTTTTTCAAGAGGCAACTGGACTTTCTGGTTTTTCTTTGAAGGCATTTCATTTCTCATCCAAGAAGCTTCTTCAGCTGAAACATCTTCAAAGAAAAACCAGAAAGCCCAATTGCCTCTTGAAACAGCACCTTTGGGACATCTAGAAGAAGCATACCGAAAAGGACAGACCAGTGTGAGAAATGGAAAAGAAAGGATATCCCTCAGTCTGACTTTATATCAACTGCTTGGAAACTGTCAGCCTCCCAAGTAGATCAGACAGGAAACGTAACAAGGTGGGCTAATTCTACTGTTTTATGAGGCTACATTTATGTAATAATCTTGTAAGTCTAACAGTACAAATTTCCACCATCTTTTTAATGGTCTGATTAATTAAGGTGAATCCTTTCCCTTTTATCTGATCATTCCCTAGGCAGCATCTTTTGCCCCCACCCCATCTTCCAAAGTCATTATCAGATTCCATTAGAGAAACCAACAGTTCACTGTGATCTGTCATCAAACTATACTTACACAAATTCCCATTTACTTTTAAATGTTACTGGCATGTCACCAATTACTCTTTCCATTCTCAAGTGGCTTCATTCATAACATCAGAGATATCAGACCCTGTTATTTATCCCTCTCTTGGTCAAATATAGTTAGGTAACCAACAGGTCCTAGATAACAAAAAATGCACACGCTTCAGGGATTTTACTGTTTACAGAAATGTGACAATTTGCTAAGCAATAAGCACCTCACATTCTTAACCACAATTTTCCAATTAACTATCCTACTTCTAAAATATCCCTTTCTGTCCAAAGCTGAATCATTTTTAATTGTGGTTTTGGTTGTGACTAAATACCATATCTATATATCCAGGTGGAGGAAATTTTGCAAAACTTCATTATTACATTGCAGAAAGCTGTTTTTTAAAGTCAGGCTGAATTAATACATCATACGGTACAGACAATGTGATGCAACCATATCTCTTCAGATTCACCAGTGTCACAAAATTAAAATTAAGATTTAGATGGGATAGTTTCTCAAAATACTTAATGAAATAAAAAGAACAAAGATCTATACATTCATACTGGAACTCAGCCTATATGGGATCATCTTAATCATCACCATTACCTGGTCAGTGGGTAGTCTTGTAAATTGAATGAATGAACAGATAAATAAATAACCTGCTCCTTCAGTTGTTGAACTGCTCTACTGAACTTATCTGAATTTATCATTTAAACTGTTTTTGTCCTGTGCTTATGTCAGGTTGATTCTAAAGTCGCTTAAGGAAATCCTACATAGACTAAGACATTTTAGCAGCAGCTTGTAATATATTTGATCTGGATGAAGGCCACTACATCAGAGGTGATATTCAGCAGGTTCTGACCAGTTCTGGAGAACTGATAGCGGAAATTTTGCATAGTTCAGAGAACCGGCAAATATCACCTCTGACTGGAGATTTTACAGTATCCTTTCCCTGCCATGCCCACCAAGCCACATCCACAGAACCGGTAGTAAGAAAAATTGAATCCCACCACTGCAGTACATCCTTCTACTGGACAACTGGCCTGTTGCTGTACCCCTGCTTTCTGTTCCAGGAAAACAGTTGCTTTTCTTCTTGTAGGAACGTCTTCCTGGAGATAGGTATATTTTTTGTGTAGGTATATATGTGTTTGTGTGGCTACATGCAGACATTCTCACATACATGCACACAACTGTGTGTGGAGAGAAAGAGAGAGAGAGAGAAAGAGAAAATTAAGGTTGAACAATCAAATTATAGGTGTATTCAGGCACAACAGCTTAAGAAATATTCCTCTTTTCAGCCTGCACCCCATTTTTTATCCTTCCTTATCATCAATAAGGAAATAGTACATAGGTTATCTGGAAGCTGTCTCATCCACCTCAGTGGACTAGAAGAGCAATAAAAATCTGGGATGGTTTTTTTCAAATGGAGGGGGAAGTTACTTATTCCAGGTAAACCTTCCACTAGCAGAGACTCGGGTTTTTATGCTGACCCTCTAATTCAAGAATGAGGACTAGCCTTGACTCCAATTTATAAGTTGGGTTAAGTGCCAACAGAAAAGGCTAATCCTTGGCTGCAAGGCACCTGAGTAAGTGCCTGCTTTTGTGAGAAGGTGATTTGACTTCTTGAGCTGTTAATTCTAGCACCATATAATAAATCAATCATTATTAATCTAGTAGCTAAACATTGGGAGGAACCCTACTTCTCACTGGCAGAATAGTAGCTACAAAATTGGGGCAAAGTTGTTTCCCCCAGGGAAGGATAACTTCAGTATTGAGTGTTTTTCAATCTTCACAGTTTTAACAGATGTGGATTTCAGCTTCCAGAATTCCCCAGTTGGCTGAGAATAGAAATCCACACATCTTAAAACTTGCCAAGGTTGAGAAATACTAAGCTAAAGGTGCTGAATAGGGAGGCCCACAAAAATGTGTCTTCCTCAAAATCTCGAATGCAGCCTCTCAAAGCCATTCCCAAAGTAATGGAAATGATTAAAATATGGGGAGGGGCATTCATATGGACTTCATTTATTTCATTTTCAATTAAATTAGACTTCTTTCTGATTTTTTCCCCATTCTTAACAGAACCCATCAGATTACTCAAATGCTTATTGTGACCAAGTCCTCAACAAAAACAATTACCACCAACCCGTCTTCCATCAAGGACCTGTATACTGCAAGAGTCAAAAAGAGGGCTGTGAAAATA